ATTTCCCCAGAACGTGATTGTAGATGGCTGGTGTGAGTTCGGGAATAAAGAGTTGCTGTTTGAATCTACAAGCTGTGTGGTGGCTCGTGATTGTGTGCCCAGCCAGACTGCGGCATTTGTGCCCAGCCAGACGGCATTTGTGCCCAGCCAGACTGCGGCAGATGGATTTGGAGACAATAGTAATACCTATTTAGTGTTGTGATGACTAAATTACATAAGCCCTATAATGGCTGGGCACGGTGGCACATGCATGTAATCCCAGCAGCTCAGGAGGCTGAGGCAGGAGGATCGACAGCTCAAAGCTAGATCTCAGCAATTTAGCCTTAAGCAACTCAGTGAGACCCTGTCTCTAAGTAAAATATATCTTTATTTCATTTATTTACTTTTATGTGGTGCTGAAGATGGAACTTTTGGTTGTTGTTTTTTTGTTTGTTTTGAGATAGGGTCATGCATGCAAGGTAAGCACTCTACCACTGAGCTACAACCCCAGCCCTCAATCCCTGGTTTAAAAAAAAAAAAAAAGTCCTATGAAGCATTTGGCACAGGGTTTGGCACATAGTCATGTTTAATGTAAGTTAGAAGTTGATGTTTGCAAGGTATTGAAGAAAGCTCAGCCAAGAGCTGTTCTCCGCATGATAATTCCATTTTGTTTTAGACCAATGAATGCATTCTCATTGTCTGCAAGATACACACAGGGAACAAAGGGGAAACAATGTCATTAGAAAATGTGCTCTGAGCTGGTTATTTTCCTGTATTCCAATAGATGGCACACAAGATCACTCCTGTTAATTAAAAAAAGAGGGGGAGGAGGGGATCCTCACGGATGGAAGGTGAACTTTCTAAGCCTCTAAATTCCTTTTGAAAGGCTCTAACAAATATACTTTTAATTAAAAGCATTACCATTACTCTTTAGTATTACAAAAGCAATTACTAAATTTCTGCATAAGGTGTCTGCTCAGATCAAAGGGATCTCAGTTCACAGTTTTCATTTGCTCCTCTGCTTATCAGGAGGCCACTAAATGTAATAATCACAACAGAAATGCCGCAGTGCAGCCAGAGTGCTGTGGCGTGATGAACGCCCCTGAGTGCCTCACACAAGCACTGCACTGTTTAGAACACTGATCACAGAAGAGGAACGGTGGTAATAGGCAGCTCCCTATTTGAGAAGGATACTCAAAAGTCCCAGATATCAAGAAGAGGGCATCACGTCCTGAGCAGGATGGGAAAAGTAGGTGAACCACTACTTGATAAGAAAAAGATAGCCAAAGCAGGAATGTAGTTCCCCATTATTTTATTCCACAGGGAAAATTAGGCATCAACTCTCTTTCTTTTCCCACTTACACCAGCATAGAAGAGATAATGGTAGTAGGGGTGGGATAAGAGGAAAGATGGACCCAAAAGGAGATTCAGAAAGAAGACAGTGCAACCTCATAGATTCATTAATCTCACCATGCTAAAACATTATTTGACAATATCCTTGGAGGCGAAATCTGCCTTGTCCTAACTTTAACCTGAGGATAGTACTAAAACCATAAGACCAGCCTGCAAAATGGAATCCCATGAGCAGAAGGCCACGGGAAGGTCCTCACATCAGTGCTTGATGAGGGGAACTTATTTCCTGGTCTTAAAATGTCCCACCCAAGCTGGCCAGTAGCCGACTGTGTATTCTGCATGTGTGCATATGGCCAACTGGAACCCATCCAAGTGTGGGGGCTAAGGCTGCTTGGAAAGGAACATGCAAACTCAATTTCCCAACTATACCTACGATATACTATGATGAATTAGATCCTACACTCCCCATCATTAATGAGAAGTATAGAATCCATCCAGATCAGACAATATAATTCTGTGAAATGCCAGAAATGGTAAATTCACCTTCAAATTCTTCTTCCATCTAAAACAAATTTGCCTTCTTCATGCTGTTTTTTTTTTTTTTTCCTGGTACTGGAAATTGAACCCAGGAGCATTCTATCACTGAACTATACTAGCGTTGAATTTGTGATCCTTCTGCCTCAGCCTCCTGAGTAGCTGGGATTATAGGCGCCACCGCACACGGCTGCATGTTAATCATTACTGAATGTTCACCTGTATGTGAATATACTCTATGGAAGAGAGCACCTCTAGCCGAAGGTCTATCCAATACAAATAGAGATGGTTAATATTTTTTTTTTCTGTTGAGGTATAATTGCTGAAAACTCTATACATATTTAAAATACAATTTATTTTTGGTTCTGAGAACTGAAACCAGGAACATTCTATCTCAGAGCTACATCCCCAACTTTATTTTTTTAAAAATTTGTTCTAATTATTAATTCCCAACTTTTTGTTGTTGTTTGTTTGTTTGTTTTGAGATAGGGTCTTGCTAAAACACCCAGTCTGGTCTTAAATTTGGGATAAACCTGTATCAACTTTGTGAATAGCTGGGATTACAGGTACTTAATGGTCAATTGTGTTTGTGTGTGTGTGTGTGTGTGTGTGTGTGTGTTGGGGGGCAGGGACAGGAAGGGAGGGAGATACAGGATGTTGCTATATTGTCCATGTTGGTCTCAATCTCCTGGACTAATTGATCTTTCCACTTCAGCCTCCTGAGTGCTGGGATTCTATGTGGGTATCCTTGCACATGGCTGTAATGTGTACAGTTAATAGTTTTATTTTTTGCAGTACTGAACCCTGGACTGCAAACTTGCCAGTACTCTAACACTGAGCTCTAGTCTCGGTCCTTTTAACTTTCATTTTGAGACAAGGTCTCACCAAATTGTTGAGGTTGGCTCTGGACTTGTGATCCTCCCATCTTAGTCTCCCAAATTGCTGGGATTACAGGCATGTGCCACTACGGCTAGCTTGATGAATTTTTTTTTTTTTTTTAATCTTTTATTTTCTTTTTTTTTTTTAGTTTTCGGCAGACACAACATCTTTGTTTGTATGTGGTGCTGAGGATCGAACCCGGGCTGCATGCATGCCAGGCGAGTGCTAGGCGAGCGTGCTACCGCTTGAGCCACATCCCCAGCCCAAGCTTGATGAATTTTGACGTGTATTTATGCTGTGCAGCTATTGCCATACTCAAAGAAAATGAGCATATCAGACTTTGTTTCAAGTGAACATTATAGGACATTGATGAACTTACAATCCATATAAATATAAAGGCATATTTACATCTGCTTATTTTTAAACAGTTAACCTCCTCATTCTCAAAAGCCAATTATAAAAATACCAAATGATCAGAAAATCTAGGGAGGAAAAAATAAAACTCCCAAAACCCCACAACCTCTGTTCACAAAAATATTGTGTTGTAGCTGGGTGTGATGGCACATGCCTGTAATCCCAGCAATTTGGGAGCCTGAGGCAAGAGGGTCACGAGTTCAAAGTCAGCCTCAGCAACTTAGTGAGGCCCTAAGAAACTCAGTGAGACCCTGTCTCTAAATAAAATACAAGAAAGGGCTGGGGATGTGGCTCAGTGGTTAAGTGCCCCTGGGTTCAGTCCCTAGTACTAAAACAAACAAAGAAACAAAAGTGAAAAGGACTGGGGATGTGGCTCAGTGGTAAAGTGCCCCTGGGTTCGATCCCCAGTACCAAAACCAAAAAACGAAACAAAACAAAACTGTATTTTATGCTAAAGTTGTCAGGCCAATTCCCAAAGAGGCCTTGCTTATTTTTGTAACCCCACACACTTGTGCCTTAATGAATGTACTGGAGCTATGTCTTGATCCAACTCTGAAGCACAACAAAGTCTGCAGAGAAACCCAATAACTTGGCTTCAGTTTAATTTGTAGTTAGGTTGGCCTTTCCTTTAACCCCTTCTTGTCTACATTTTCTGCCCTTAATTATATCTCTGTTTTCATCTTGGGAGGCAGGAATGAACCACCAAGGGGGAAAATAAAACTCTATGATGTCATTTGTAATGTGCTATATTAAAGTTGCAAAGCAAAAATGCACATGCCCACCATAAAATGCTAACTATTTCATTAAATCCATCCAATGAAAGAAATAAATGATACCTTAAGGTTTCACATCATTGGAAAAGCTCTTTAGTTCCACCTACCAGAACGCCTGGCATTGGCTTCCTATTCAATCCCCAGTGCAGACACTGCCTATGCTGGCAGTTTTAAGGCTTTAACAACTTTGCTAAACGAAAGGCAATTTGAAAGAGTCAAGTTCAGCACTTCTTTTTTTTTTTTTTTGGTGGTGCTGGGGATGAAACCAACAGCCTGGCATATGCTAGGCAAGTGTTCTGCTGCTACATACATCCCCAGCCCTAGAATTTCAATTTTTAATAAGGATTCTACTTTTTCATCAACTTGAAAATGCTGATGGCAAGGCCTGGGCTTCTGTTAGGCATAAAGGTTTATTAAGAAAATAATATTTAAGCTGCAATTAAAGTCTTCAACATTTCAAGCATATATGCTTATGTGTACGTGTGTCTATATGTGTTTTCAGGAGGGAATTTAGTTAAGGTACATTGGAGAAGCAAAAGAATCTGTTTGCCATATTATCTAGGCCCATCGATATTAAAATGATAGAACAATAAGATGTACTTCCCTTTTAATTAGGTTGGTAATCTGTCATGATTCTAAACCTGAGTTGTTCAATGTACATTAAAAAAAAAAAGAACATGATAAATATTTTGTTAAATGAGTGAGAAATCAGAAAGGGTAGAGTTTAGTAGAATATGGATAAACTGACTTTGTAGATCAAAGTCAGGAAAGGAACTATATTGGTTGTTTTGTGTTGTTTTGTTTTGTTTTTGTTTCGTTTTGTTTTTTTGGTATCAGGATTGAATCCAGGGTGCCTAATCACTGAGCCACATCCTCGATCATTTTTTGTATTTTATTTTGAGCCAGGGTCTTGCTGAGTTGCGTAGGACCTCCTAAGTGCTGAGGCTGGTTTAGAAATTGTGATCTTCCTGCTTCAGCCTCTTAAGCTGCTGGAATTACAGGTGTGTGCCACCCCACCCAGCAAGGAACCATATTTACTGGTATAAAATGAAACTCAAAATTATATACCTCTAATATCTGGTCACCAGCCCAAAGTCTTCCATCTCTGGCTGCTGCTCCTTCTTCATAGACTTCATGTATGACTATAGCATCCTGCAAAAAGCAAACTCTTATTAATTTTCTTTCTTTTTATTTTAAGACAGGGTCTTGCTAAATTGTTCAGGCTGACCTCAAACTTGTGATCCTCCAGCCTCAGCCTCCCGAGTCACTGGGACTGTGCCCCACTTTCACCTTCTAATTAATTTTCAATAAGCATAAATGCTTCCTTAAGTAAGCAACCAAACCACAGGCAGCAACTCATGATTTGTTCATAATGCCACATTCTATATATTTGACATAAGGATAAATAAGATACATAGTTATCATATATTTGGACGAATAATTAAGCTTTCTTTCAATTATTTTAGTTCTTAAGCACTGACTTTGCCTGGTATTTCATGTTAAACTTCCTGCTGTGTTTCACTGTTAACTTTGAACACTGCTGCTATGTAGGAACTTGGGGTGAACTATGTGTCATTCTTATTTACATTTTATGGTGTATTTTGAAACATAGTTTCAGGTATTTATTGGTATTCAAGGATTTGGCATAAATGTGTGGCCTGATGAAGGGGGTTTGCCAGGGTCTTGTGACTTGGCAAAGAAAGAAAAGACCTTAGTGGAATGAACCAATGTCCTCCTTTGCTGGAAGATAAAGCCTAGAGGAGAAGAAAGAGCATTCATGGACTGAAGTGTAACACAGCTGTGAGTTTGAATCCTGCCACTATGTGATCCTGGGCAAATTCACTCCTCTGAACTTTATCCACAACATTAGGACAAAATTATCTACAGTAGAAGCTTTGGTTAAAGAACATATTTCGTGGTTATGAATTAAAAATAATGTGCAACTCTTCAAATTAATAACCTTATATTTTTTAAACACCATCAAAATGACATGAATCTGGATACAAATATCATCACAGGGTGCCTCTCACCCTGACCTCCCAGTCCCACTCTCCAGAGGCCACCACCACTGGAAGTTTCCTAAGGACCTCTGCAGACAATTTACATATATACACAACGAAGAGTTATGTATTCAGGTGAGACGATTCTAAAAATATTGAGTTGTTCACATTATCTTTCCCTCTTCTCCCTCCTGTTTAACAAGTAGTCAAGGTTTGAAATTCTCTGCCTGTGGGATCTTGTGGTGCTGAAAACTGAAGCAACTGAAGTCCTGGACTCTTTCTGGGTTTGAGAGAGTCAAAGGCACCAAAAGGAATATGTTGAATGGATTATGCTGGGTGTCTCGAGGGCTCTGGAAGAGGGAAAGAGTTTTTGTGTGGAGATGGAAACAGAGATCTATGGGTCCCACAATAATGATCTGGGACCTGCCCTGCCAAGGGTTTCCCATTCCCTGCCTGCAGCACACAGGCAATAGTCAAGGTTGAAGCCTTTATGGCAGACTCCAGGCATACAGTGTCCCAAGCACAGGCCTGCAAGCAATAGGACTTCTGGATGTACAGAGATCTTATAGGTTTGGGTTAGTAAGGGCTTGTTGGTTGGTTACCAGGGTGGACTGACAGTAATGACCCCAAAGGACTGACCAATGTTAGGGTGCTTTGTTAACAACCCTGAGAGCTAATGAGCCTGCCAAATGGCTGAGGCTGGATTTTACATTAGCTGAGAAGTATGGAGTGTTTGCATTTAAGCTCACATGAAATGAAGAAAAAAAATTAAAATATTTCTTGCAAAAATATAACAAACAAGACAGAAAAAACAAAAACACACTAAACTATATTCTTAAAAATAAACACATACACAAATGGTTCTTATACACATTCTGGAGTAGAGAAGCAACAAAATAAAATAAAAAGTTTATAACCAAATAACTCATCTGGATTCCAAATATCTTTACAATACTTTCATTTATCACTACACAATTTAGAAGACATTTTGCATTATAACAATTAGAGAGGTAGTCAGCTCTCAAGAGCCAGGAAAGTTACCCTGATCCAGGTAATATATCTTTCAGATTTTGTACCAGCAACAGATTGTTTTAGATTATTCTTTGTTTTAATTCTGTCATGAATTTTGCAGATCTAGGGAGCATTTAACTACCAAGAGTTTGTTTCTTTGCACCTTCTCCATGGAGACTCAGGATCTTGCTGGGTCAGTGGTTTGAGATGATCCCAACTCTACCAAGATCCCACCCGGGGTCTAGTTTGAGGCAGGGCAGGAAGAAGTTAAAGAAGGCTCCTAGGAGCACCTGTGTTGCAAGGCAGGCCTGCAAGGTTTGTGCCCAAATGCCCCATCTTTCCTGGGCTGGAAGAATCACACAATGAACACAGACCACAAGTGGGTTTTTCAGAGCTTGCTTTTCAGTATAAAACCCTTTGATATTGTAACATTATAAAAGTCAAATGGGAAATTTCTGTTCATTCATAGTCAAAAGGAAGAAAGAGATCCCATGGAGTTTTTATTCCATAAAAGTGGCCCAAATCTAAAACCCTTCCATACTTTCTGGTGCTCATGAACTACCATACATAAAGGAAAGACACTGTTAATAGTCTCAAATACATGCTGAGTTCATTGCTAAGGATCCCTTTTCAGTCCATAAATCTTGCTCCATGAAAAACTCCCCATTCATTTCTTTCCTTTTGCTTGACTACTGCTATAATTTGTCTGAATCAGTAAAAATACAATAAAACACGAGACACTGTGACCTGTTGATTGAAAAGGCTTCCTTTCTTACTCTGTGCCCTTGTGTGCCAAAAGTGTTCTATGAAGCCATCACACTGTGGATAGTTGCGTTGAGCGGGGATGGCAGAGGTGAGGGGTGGGGGGGACCAAGAGCTAATTAGAAATGTAAGCTGATGAGTTGAAAAGAAACATGGATTTGATTATTTTTTAAAACTTATGTACTTAACAGGGTAGGTCAGCTTAGAAAAAAGGATACTAAGTTGAGATATTTTAGGCATCAATTTAATAAAGCAATATTAAAATTTTACTTCTCTCTGGCTCTGAAAAAAATCTGATCAGATGAACTAATGGGTCATTAATGAAAGACTGACATTAATTTAAATAAAAAATGTGGAGTTGATCATGCACATACTTATCTCCACTGGATATCCTCCTAAATTCCCCCCTCCCCTTTTTTTTCCTGGTGCTGGGGATCGAACTCAGGGTCTTGTGCATGCGAGGCAAGCACTCTACCAACTGAGCTAAATCCCCAGCCCATCCTCCTAAACTGGAATGCTCCTAAGCTCTCTGAGCAAAACTGTGGCTCTGGGTTTTCCCCGTGCATGCTTCCTATCTCTGCTCCATGCATATAACATTGCTCTACCCAAAATACTGCAGTAACTGTCCGTCTACCAGTCCCAAGGTCTCTAAAATTCTTTATTCCAGAATCTGTCTTTAACTGTGAATCACCCCATGGGTGGCTGCTGGCTTGTTCTGGGCAGAGGCCCTAGAGATAGTGATGATGAGCCAACTCCCCGGCGTCAGACTTCCTCTGTCCAAATCCTGCCCTGCTACTCCTGGCCACGGGCCTTGGGAAGACTGGTAACCTCTCTGGGATACCGTTTTTGTTTTTGTTTTTAATGGTTTTAAAAATAGTGTCTATAGATAAGGGTTTGTGTACAATGCCAGTACATGGTACTAATTTTATTAGTACTTATTTATTTAATGTATATGTGCCAAGGATGCTATACACTTACAACTCGTAACAACCAAGCAAGTTCAGCATGATTAGTCCCATTCTCAGGTGAGCAAATAGAGGCTCATAAAGATCCAGACTTCAACAAGTCTTTGTAGCTTCTGAGCAGGAAGAAGTTACATTCCAACTCACAATGGTTTCACACCAAAACCTGGGCTCTCACCAGGACAGCAAGTGTCACATCTGGTTTGAATAGTTTATTGTGTACTTGTACAAAAGCTAACTTGAGATTTTCCATATGGCATCAATTCTGTTGAAATAGTGTCACCTCAACTCTACAGCAAAGACCTTGAGGCCATGAGTTGATCATTTTATAAAGCAAGCAAAGGAACAATGCACGGAAGTGGAAATCGAAGCCCTTGGCCTAATGAGGTGGTGAAGATCGATGGGTCTCCCAAGCTACGCTGGCACATGAGCCATGGCCTGCAGTGCATGGGCACGACTGGTAGGCCCCCTCCCCACCTCAAAACAGTCTCTTCATCTTTGAGTTCTGTTTCTATGCACTTATATCATTCATCAGATGGTGTGGTTTTTTTTGTTCCCTATAGGAGAAGATATAAACCAACTTTAGCATAGATATAAGTGACAAACTTATGTTCAAAATAAAGAGCTATTCAGCCCAAGAAAGTAGATTAATTTCTGTTTCTTAGTGGCACAGACCTGAGGTTTGTTTCTAGAAAACCAAGAGAGGCAGGGCCCAGACCTAACTTCCGCCTGGTAGTTGTAATAGTCATTGGGATGACAGGACTTTAAGTAAGACAACCTGTTTGCCCACTGATTGACACAAGATGGACAGCCTCCCCTGGACACCTTAACTTGTTTTTTGACTTAATAACTCCAGTCAGAGAAGAACTTGATCTTGGAGTTAGAGTCTCTTAGGGTCAGGTCAGATTTCAGAGATGTGGGAAGAGTCTTCTGCTTACAAACGTATTTCTGAAACCCCTTTAACTGAGGAACACTCCTTTATTTCACAGTTAGAGACGACTTAAAAATAGATACCCAGGAAGCAGTGGCTGGCTAACAAATTCATCACATTGTTTAAGAGATTAGTGTCTTAATGTTTCTACTCCTAAAAGAGTAAGTATTTATTTATTTTAAAATGAAGATAATGCAGGCACAGGGAAGTAAACTAAAACTCATGCATGGAAAAGCTTCTCTTCAGTCCTGCTCCTCCCCCACTTAACCTTCTGGTCTAGAAACACACCATCAAGCTGCTCAGACACTTTGATAGAGATATTCTACACCCTCTATATTTGGAAAGTCTGAGGGCCCCAAGTGCTTGAAGGTCATGTCCTCTTTTATCTGCTGCCTCCTCTGTTTCATGGAATTCTATCTGAGTCAACCAAGTGCTACCTCTTCTATGAAATCTTCTCTGACTCCCTGCCTTGGCCAAATTGATCCA